CTTATTTTACTTCGGATAACCTCGTTCTTAATCATATCATTTCTCGTGTGCCCACACATCCAACGAAATATTCTCATCTCTAATACACTCATCTTTTTTTCACGTGTTGCTTTTTGATCGTCCAACATTCTGTGCCATAAAGCATCATTTGCCTTATTATTGTCCTATAAAATTTTCCAAAATAACAAAAACATTCACTCTTTGACACCTTCATTCTTAAGAAATTAAAATTAGGATAGTGTGTGGTTATATTTCTGTATAAAAAAGATACTAAGCCGCACCTACCACACTTGTAAATACAAAATTAATGGCTTTTGGAGAAGCTAGGCATGAACCAAACGACTTCTGTGAAAAGCAGGGAAAAGAATCTATTAGCTTCTATTGAGGATAATGATGGACAAAATCTGGTGATGAGTAACAATAATAGGACTAAGAGGTCAGACAGATGATAAGTGATTCTTCTGGCACAAATAAGAAAATATAAATTACTTGGATGATACTCTACAGCCGTAATTAGCAATTAGATGGGTCCAAAATTCCAACAAATTCAGTTGGTAAATTCTCTCTTCATTGTCAAAACCTGTAACTTCCTATTACCTAATGGACCAAACACACCTTTTCATTTGTATATAAACAAATCTCACAGGCCAAGCTTCTTAGACCACTGCAAAGCTAGCTCAAATGGCGTCTTCTATTCCTTTTTCACCAACATTTCTAGTGGCTTTTCTTCTTGCTCTTATCTCTCTCTTGGCCTCTCCTGAGTTTGCCATTGCTGCAGCTGGCAGTGTTACAAGGCATTACAAATTCGATGTACGTATGATAAATACATAAACTGTGAATTCAAATTATTGCTTGATTAGGTTTTTTTTGACAAAATATGTAGTCCTGATACATAGTCTGACATCAAAATTGTTGCGGCTTATAATTAAATAATATACCATGCTCTAAATGTAATTATAACATTCTAATTTTTGTGCAGATAAAGTTGAAAAATGTGACTAGGCTGTGCACCACAAAGAGCATTGTGACAGTGAATGGCAAGTTCCCTGGACCTCGAATTATTGCCAGAGAAGGAGACAGGGTTTTGGTTAACGTGGTCAATCATGTTCCAAACAACATGACCATCCATTGGTACGAAACAACTTATAATTAATCAATTTTTACTCAATTAAAATCAAATATTGTTTTCTTCATTTTTTTACTTTTTATTTGTGGATTAATGAAAATGTGAACACAGGCATGGCATTAGACAATTGCAGAATGGATGGGCAGATGGGCCATCATATATCACTCAGTGCCCTATTCAAACAAACCAGAGTTATGTGTACAACTTCACCATCATTGGCCAAAGGGGAACTCTCTTCTGGCATGCTCACATCTCATGGCTAAGAGCTACTGTCTATGGACCCCTCATCATCCTCCCTAAGCGCCATGCTCCGTACCCTTTCCCCAAACCCCACAAAGAAGTTCCCATCATTTTTGGTAATTAACTAAACTTACCAAATTATAGAGAATCATTAATTAAACAAGCATTTCTCAGATATTGTAGATTTTAGGGTAACATATTATGTGGTGAAACTGTAAAGCTGTCATTACACATTAAATCAAGAATCCATTTCTTAATAGTTCAAATTTAACAGTCTGACAACATAACGTACTAAACTGAAATTATAACATAGTAGGTAACTTTTATGCATATACAACAACTAACATGCTAAACTTTTCATATATGTTTAAATCACTACAGGTGAGTGGTGGAATGTTGACACAGAGGCTGTAATTAGCCAGGCTTTACAAACCGGAAATGGTCCAAATGTCTCCAATGCCTATACGATTAACGGACTTCCAGGGCCATTGTACAATTGTTCCAAAAAGGGTACATACACATCGATCATGTGAACATTTTTTTTTTCCATGAAACATATATAATATTGTCACAAAAAGTTTAGTTATAATTTCTCTTTATTTTTGTGTTTTTTTTTTCCAGACACTTTCAGTCTAAAGGTGAAGCCTGGAAAGACATACCTCTTGCGATTGATCAACGCTGCAGTCAATGATGAACTGTTTTTCAGCATAGCAAACCACAGCCTAACAGTAGTTGAAGCAGATGCTGTGTATGTCAAACCCTTCACGACCAATATTTTATTCATTACACCAGGGCAAACCACAAACGTGCTTCTCAAGGCAAAACCTCAATACCCTAATGCCACTTTCCTCATGTTAGCCAGACCCTACTTTACAGGCAGGGGTACTTTTGACAATTCAACTGTTGCTGGAATTCTCGAGTACAAAGAACACTCAAATTCTTCTTCCTCCACATCACTGAAAAGCCCACTTTTTAGGCCAATCCTTCCCCAAATCAATGCTACTTCTTTTGTTGCAAATTTTACTAGTAAATTCAGGAGTTTGGCCAGTTCTAAATTTCCAGCCAATGTGCCCAGAACTGTCGAAAAACGCTTCTTTTTCACAGTAGGGCTTGGAACCAACCCATGCCCTAAAAACCAAACATGCCAAGGGCCTACCAACACCACCAAATTTGCAGCTTCTATTAACAACAACTCATTTGCTCTTCCTTCGGTAGCGCTGCTTCAATCTCATTTCTTTGCTCAATCCAACAGTGTTTACACCACCGATTTCCCTACTATTCCTCCCAAGCCGTTCAATTATACAGGCACTCCACCTAACAACACCAATGTGAGTAATGGGACAAAGGTGGTGGTGTTAAAGTTCAATACTAGTGTGGAATTGGTGTTGCAGGGCACCAGCATTTTGGGTGCTGAGAGTCACCCTCTTCACCTTCATGGCTTCAACTTTTTTGTTGTTGGACAAGGTTTTGGAAACTTTGACCCTAACAAAGACCCGCCTAAATTCAACCTTGTGGATCCTGTTGAAAGGAACACCTACGGAGTTCCAGCCAGGGGTTGGGCGGCTATCCGATTTCTCGCAGATAACCCAGGTAATCTTTTGTTTGTTTCGAACACATGTGTCACACCCCAACTTGGACTGATGTGTGAATTCACATATATCTTGAAACGGGGCATGACAAAAAACTTAATTTCAGCATGCGATATAATTAGTAAAGCGTCATATTTATTTGTGGGAAAAAAAAAAAGAACTATTGTGGGAGAAGTGATCGGCTGGCACAATGTACTAAAACAGTTTTTGCTTTTGTATGACTGAAATTGCAGGCGTTTGGCTCATGCATTGCCACTTTGATGTCCATTTGAGCTGGGGGCTGAGGATGGCTTGGGTAGTCCAAGATGGGAAGCTTCCTAATCAAAAGCTGCCTCCTCCACCGTCCGATCTCCCAAAGTGTTGACCGTTGACTCTTTTTTGGAGTGACTGAGGCACCTTTACATTTCCTTATTTTTTTTTTTGTAACCTTAAATTTTTGTTTTCACTCTCCCTTAAGAGTAGCCAAGGGCTTGCAACATTGGCACCATCTACTGAAACTGGAAAGGAATTTGTGGAGGTTTTGTGTTATAGCCGGATTCTCCATGCTATTGTTGAAAAATAAACAATAATGATTTGATCCAGTAATGCAATTTGACAATCAAAATTCAAAAATTCTGGTATCTAACAATTTAGACAATAATGTTCATGTGTTATATGTGTTCATATGGTAAATAGTTTTGCGGTTCTTTAAATTTGTTGTGAGATCTTGCCCTCTAAGGCTTAATTCATGAGTGAAAGCTTGTTTCTCACGGTTTGGCAAATGCGTTCCAAATATTGTAGAAAACCAAGAAATTGGGAGAGAGTGTCCTCCGGTCACGGTACTATTTGGTATGATAGCCTATATATCTACTCCTTAGTTTCTCCTATAACTGGTTGAATTTTCATACCATGTGAATGTGAATCAAAATCTCAGAAGGAATTGGTGTATAATTGAAAAACCATATTCCTTTCTTTTAGTTTGCACCACATTTATTATCTATTTTACTACTGATTTATAAGAGGACTTTATACAAATTTGAATAAATTGTTAGAAAAAGTTTGAAATAATTGAAGAAGTTGCCTTATTCATTACCAAATTCTCTGTCAATTTCTCAATCATCTAGGACTGTAAATTGGCCCAAAACAGTTAGAGTTTAGTTTGTGAAAGAAACAAGTCAAGCTTATGTTTAACTCGACAAGAAACAAACCAACTTGAACATTGGTATGTTTGTTTGGTTTGTAAAGCTCATAATTAAGCAACTTGTGTTTTTTCACATGACAACTTGAGTTAGATTCTATGAAAGAAGTTTGTTTGGAACAAAAGATGATGATTAAGATTTAACTTTTGAAGTTATGTCTATTTTTATTTTCTATGTTTAGAGACCATCTTCAATTTGAATTTTTTTAAGACGGAGATTGATATCATGTCTCCAATCTTATTTTGTTTCTAAAGAAATTATTACGGCTTGATCACCTATCCTCCCACAGAGTTCCAATAATAAGAAAAGAAAAAAAAAATCATTTATATGACAATCTTAAGGTAGCATGCTTGAAATTTTCATGTGATAGTGTTTGTTTTATACATTCCATCATTAGAAATTATCGAAAAAATATATTGTCAAGTTATGAATTTTCATTACAAGACCGAACCAACTTCTTATACTAAATAGCTCGAAACAACTTTAATTCCGTATTGAGCTGGAATTTTTTAAGCTCACGAGCACGAATCATATATGAAACAAGTTAAGACAAGCTTAAGAAAACTAGCCAAACTTGAATAAGGTGATATTTACTTTTATTGGACTCATTACTGCCTTATCAACACGTGATATGACGCAATTACAAAACACTTTGAGATTAGTGTATGGAAATACATGGGATACAAGCCACACTCCTAGATTAAATCAAACAAAGTACTTCTAAAGAGAATTTTTACTCAGTTTTTACCATCAAAGCAAGAAAAGGTGTGGCTTGCATTTCCAAGGAAGATAGGAGAGTTACCTCTATGTCTTATTATATTCCCCAACAGTCAAAGGGAATCTTTCTCTTTAAAAAATTTAAAATAAAATAAAATGATGCAAAACAGAAATATTACCAAATTCAAATTAAAAACAAAACTAAATTATGGATGTTGGCCTTCATGAGATTTGATTGCAATTTCGTGATCATGGTACAATTGTAGAACTTGAACACTGGACATGTATTCGATAATATGATAATTTATTGCAATGTACATACAGAAGCACTTGTAACTCATCTTAATTGTAATTACAAAGGACAATTCTCTAACAAAAACGAAAATAGAAAAATTATAAATAAATAAATAAATAAAACACTACAGAAATTTGTGTGTTGCCGATCTCCTCTTGACCGGATGGGAGAAAATTTGATACATATATATGAGTTTGAAATTACAAACCCGACCCATCTCACAGGAGGGTGATATATGAAGCAAAATAAGTACATATGGAGCTTAATCTCAAGCACTAACATAATTAAAAATTATTAATCACCATGCTTGCGCCAACAAACAAGCATAGCAACACATCTTCTCATGATGTAGAATCTAGCCTTCTGTTCCTTGGCAACACTACTACACTTGCGGCCGATGGAAGAGTTCTTTTGTGAGAAGCTTCTTGGAAGAGGAGACTTGGAGCTAGAGGCATTGTTTTTTTGTGAATAGCTTCTCAGCAAGGAAGATGTGCTTCTGGTTGAAGAACTTCTTGTGAAGGAAAACTTGGAAGAAGAACTTGATGATGAAGTGCCTTCGTGCTTGTTCTTTGGTAGCTTCCACTTCTCATCCATAATGTGTACGTTTAATGCTCAAATTTTCTTGAGGTTGATCTCTTTGATCTCTTCTGGCTTCTGGCAGCTGGTACTCAACTTGTTTGCTTTATGTCAATGTATGTGTTGAGAGAGAGAGAGAGAGAGAGAGAGATGCGAGTGCGGTAAGTGGGGTATTGGTGTTATTATATAGGGTATAACGTTGCAGGGAGTGTGTTGGCAGATGGTAACATGGTAGTGTTATTTTGTAGGTGCATGCGTATAGTGATCACATTACAAACCACATATCTTATACAAGTAGAACTTCATGGAGGATTTACTTTTCTAAAAACGGCAATACGACTCAAAGAAATTTTCACAACAATAACAATTCGTAACATTTTTATTTATTGAATGATACCACATACCAAGATTTGAAAGTATTTAACTGTTTAAATATAAATGAGATTTAAAATGAACTCGAATATAAACCTATTAGCTAGTTTCGTGTGAATTAGGATTCAAAATCAAAGGTTTGCTTGAATGTTTTCAATTATTGTATTTAAAGAACATGTGATAGATGAGGTAGCGTCATGTGTAAGAATGAAAAAAATAAAAAATCCCATAATCATTATCATCGTAAAATTTTAACTTCTTCCAACTCTTAAATGTTCGTATAATAAATTTTATTGGTGGATCATGGGAATGATCATTTTCTTGATTAGTGTCAGATGGCTCTATCTCAATAACCTATTGATTGTTTTCTCTGTAGACTCGTGGTCTTTTTCCCATTGCATCACCTCATAATTCTTGAGGAGGAGATCCTCTCTCTTTTCTTTTATTTTTATTTTTCTTGAGACACTATTATTGTACGGTGCTCCAACATTAAAATATATTGGGATCACGCACACCACGTAAAGCTCTGAGCAAGAGATAAAAAATAATGGGAGAGCGGGGACCCTGGTCATTGTACAATTCTTATTTCTGTTTTTCATGTGAATGGTTGTACCAATTTTTTTACGAAACAATAAAAAGTGAATACCTGATAAATTAAGGATATTGTTATATATACATTTATTTTTACTTCTCATACATATATACCTCTTAATTTTTGGTCATCGAATAAAATGAATTGAAGAAATTAATGACTAAACTTATTAAGAGTGTGTAAAAGATACAAATGAATGTGTGAATAACACTATCCTAAATTAATAATCTATGATACCGTATTAAATTAATGATTCGCTAAATTTATAAGATAATGCGTTATAAAAAATTCAAATAGGTCCCATGAAATATATAAAATAATAATTTCCTGATTTCTTTATGATGTGTTGTTTTACTATGACTTCTGTTTATTTAAATAGAGTTTTTGCTCTTCTTTTTTCTTTTCTTTTTTTTTTTGTCAAACAAAGTTTTTGCTTGGTTGAATGTTCATAAAATTGAATAATGTAATCCATTGAACAGTGTACAATCTTGAGAAAAATAATTAGATTCATGAATTTACTTGATTAAACAAATACATAGAATTATTAGTTTGTAAAACGTGAAACTAAATACAATATACAATATTTAAGAAAATAAAGAATACCTTTATAAATTAATAAGTTATTAATTAATCGATCGATTATTTAACATTCGCTAAATTAATAGATTTTCTTTGATCCGAACACTATTAATTTATAGAGGTTTAACTGTATGTGTACATCGATTTTGAAAATTCAAATGATTTCTTTTTACTATTTTCATTATGTTATGAGAGGTTTTTCAGTATCCTTTATGGTACACCATGTGTCATTATACAAGTAGAGTAACACTTGAAAATAAAGTTTTTCTTCAATTATATAATGATATATTTTGTACCACTCCGTGTTCCATGCACCCTGAAAAATTCCTTACACTGTCTTACTTTCCCACTGAAACCTCAGAAGTAAACTTGCACCTTGTTACCAAAGTACCAAGTAACATTGGGTAAAATAAATCAGATAAAAGCTATGGAGAAGTATTCTTGGATTTTTTTTACTGTTTAAACGGTGCAAATAATCTTTTGTCCATGCATGTGCTTAAACTTTCTACCGTTTTACCCATGCATGCTTCATGACTTCATGTTCATGGCTGACAACTGGCTGCAAATTAAACACAATCTTTTATCCCTCCTATTCTTCTTCTCTCCGATCAGCTTTCTCTTCGGTTTTTTTTTTTAATTTGTTTTAGGCTGTGAAAAGGAAGAGCATGAAGCTAGGGCACTAATTATCTAATGAATTTTAAGATACCTTCTATGTAATTTCAAAACTTTGTACTAAGATAATCTTAATGGTCTAACTAAGTAACTATACTAGTGCTTATATATATACATGGGGAATACACATATAATAAGTGTAGCATATACGAGTTTATATAATGTGTATGCATATAAGATGTTCGGATTCATGAAATTGATTTATGTTATACGCTTCTTAAGATTAATTGTTAGTTTGTTACACTTTCTCCTAATAAATTTATTTAACCAGCAAGAAGCAGGACATTAGAAAGGAAAAGAAATTTGGAACCCTATCTGATCAGATTTGACCATTTCATAACTTCTAGTAGCGTTTCTTATTCTTCTTCTTCTGGTGAAGAAAAATGTTTTCTTAGCAAACAAGTTAGATGGTTAAAAGTTAAAACTGTTAACGTGAAAGTCGATGTACAAAAGGGCTCTTGTTTGATATCTCCATTAAATAGAACAAAAAACATAATTTCACATTTGACTAAGAAGGAAACATTACTCTTTCACTCAATTACTACAACATATAACCTAACTAATTCAACAAAGAAAGAAGGAGATGGCGGAATCTTGTAATTAGATAAATTCATCATGTTCTGCTGGAAGAGATTTGACTAGTCAAAGCCCTATTAATCTAATTTTCTAAACTTGTTTCGTTCTTATTTTCTGTACGTTAGTTTTAATTTAATTTGTTGGAAGAAACTAATTAGATTTAAGTATTTAACAGAATATTTGAGTCCTTGTTATAGGAAAATATTACAATTAAAAAGCTTTTCTCTGAAGATAAAAATAAAAATAAAACTTATTCCCATGTGAGTCATTGTTAAAGGAATATTTGACCACAAGCCATGAATCAATTTCAAACTTAATAAAATTAGTAAAAGTACAAATAACGCAAGCAAGTCTTTCAAGACGTAGGTAAATAAACAGATGCATGTGCTTTCGACACAGGCGGTACCTTGTGGGTCTTTAGTTATTCTAAAGATTTTTCTTTAAATAATCAAGGTATAAGTTTCATAGAAAATAATCGAGGCATATATATATATATATATATGTATGTATGAGTGATGATTTAACTTTTAGTTAACCAAGTTTAACCATCTTCTATTTAGAGGTAGGATTTTACACTTACTACAGTATTTAGTATTTCGTATTTTGATGAGTTTATGTTAAGCCAAATAGTGAATACAAAGTTTTAATGTATAAGCATGATATCAATGCAGAAAATATTAGCAGAAGATCTGAACCTTCTTCTGTTTTTGAATTTAAATCAATGAATCAAGATCATTAAGTTGCATGAATAATGCTTAATGTCTAAGGAAGAATTGGTGAAAATTTGATTGGTAAAACAAATTTTGGTGATGGTCAAAATAAAGTCATGGTTGTTGTGGTTGGTGTACAATAGAGAGAGAGAGAGAGAGAGAGAGAGAATATCGTAGGGTTTTTCTCCTTGATCTATTTTGTGTTGTATAAAAGGAAAATAATTTTTTTTTTTGAAGTTAGAAACATTTCAATAATTAAATAAAACGACGAATCTATTCGATTAGGAAAACAGTTTCATTTTTAACATATGAAATTAATGTGATTGTTCATCATGTAGCTTAAGAATATGAACATTTGGGAGTTGGGAGTCCCCACATGCATACATGTGAGAAACACAGAGGGTGCCCAGGAGGAGGTAGCACCATGGAAAGCGTGGACCCTTTAGTACTACACTTAAAATCAAAAGAAAACTGGTCAAACGACTCAACACCCCCTCTTTTCCCCCCCTTTATGATTTTGTCTACGCTCCTCTAAATCTGAGACAAAATAAACAAGAGTGAACTACTGAAAGAAAACAAAAGGCTTTTCACGTTTGACGGGGCTCAAACCCACATCTTCCGCCTTGACAGGGCGTTTGAAATCCGCCTCTTTATTTTGTGTTGTAATATTCTTTGAGGGTTGATTATAGTATTATGGTGCCCTCTTGTTTAAGCATGTATCTCGATCAGAGATATGCTTTGACATAAGATACTGTGTTTTAGGCAAATGCTACACTTTTTTTTTTTTTTTTTTTTTAAGAACTTTGGCAATGTTGAGAATGAATTCAACATTGATGGAAAGAGAGATCTTTGCATGAGCTTATAAGTTGGGCTACTCCTTACATTGCCAATTGGTTTTATGGTGTAACTTCAACTTTCTTCATGGTATCAGAGTAGATTGTCCCATGTGTGAAGCCAACGGCCACACGTGCTCCACGTCACCCATTTGTGTTGTTCACATGTAAGACTTGAAAATTCGCCACACGTAAGAGGGCATGTTGAGAATGAACCACACATTGATGTGAGAAGATAAATCTTGTATGGGCTTATAAGTAAGTTGAGTTACTCTGTACATTGCCAATTGATTTTATGGAAGAACCTCAACTTTCTTCAAGTGGTACAAGGGGAATCTATTGATATGAAAAAATTAAAAAAAAATTACATCCAGTTAGGGAAGACATAAATCTTACATTTCATAAATCAAGAAAAACAAAATGCAGGGACAGGGGGATGAGACATACATCTTACCCTTTTTGAAAAAGAAAATACAAGAAAACGAAAGGAGGGACATAAAGTTTATCCCTTCTTGAAAAAGTAAATACAAGAAAAAGAGAGAAAGAGACGAGGGAGGGTGGGGGAAGAGGACCAAACCCCTCTAAAATAAAACATAAAAGATAAGAATTTGCAAGACAAGCTGTAAAACAAAAAGAAAACTCCAAAATGATTAGGTAAAAATGAAAATCATACATGAAGAAGGGGAGGTAAACTTGTAAGTCGTCATGCTCAAGAAATCTGAATGCAAAAAAGGAAGAATCCTTACAAGAGAAGTCATGTCAAACAAGTGAAGATAAAAGAAACCGTGTGAAAATCATTTCTCTTATTTGTACAAACGATTATGTGAAAAAAAGAAAAAAAGAAGAGAGAATAAAACCTAAGAACTTAGGAGCATAGGTAAATACTATTCATAGAGTAACTTTCAAGTTTCAACACACCATCTTATGCGTCGATATTTTAAAAAATTAAAATAATAATATTGTTGTAATCAAGGAAATATAAACTCATGCACATTGAGTTATTTTAGTGGCCTGAGCATGTAGCACTAGTTCTTGGTCCATTTTCTTGGATGTCATTCCCAGAAACGGACCCAATAAAACCCACTAAAAGATGCCGGTCGGAATTGGCTAATACCCCAACTTCTCCTCCATTCTGTCCTCTTTTTGTTGGGTTTGGTGTCCTTGTTGCCCTTATCTTTTAGTATATACTAGCATCGATGCTCGCACAATGTTGCAAGTTTAAAACTATAGATGTTCAAATCTATTTACAACTATTACCAATTTGAATGAAATGTACGAAAGAATTTGTGAAAGCTGGACACGTGGAATATCAAGTTAAAACTTGTAATCACACGACACTTCAATCACATGACACACACCACAATAACTCTTCACAAAAACATATTAGCTAAGAATGGAAAATCACAAAAAATAGAAATCACGAACGATTAACTCTGGTAACAAATCAGTAACCTCACTTATATAGCATTAGGATTAACTATGCTAATTTGTTTATGTAAGTGATCTATCCGCCTACAGTTCTCGTTTTTTTTAGCAGACAATAGACCTTTTATTTTATTTTATTTTATTTTATTTTTTGCAATGACATATAATACTGTAATAGAATGATGAAACAAAACGGGTTAATTTTTTTTATACAATATGGGTTAAAATTATCTACATTTTACTTGTGCGGATTAAGGGAAGTGGTGGCTTTACTTTATAATTTCTGCAAGTTGGACACCTGCAATATCAACAGTGACATAATTTGTTGTTAAGGCACTGGAAAAATTATATTAGAACCTGAACGTGAAACCCCGTCCCAAATTATGTATAATATCATTTTAACATAATTATAAAATGACCATTTTGCCCCTTTATCCTCCTATCCTATCCGGATCTCTCTCTATCTCTCTCTTCTTCTCTGCGAAGCTATGAAACGCAGCAAACTTCTCCGACCCATGGCCTTCAAGGTGTTTTTCAGCCAACTCCGGCCACCAGTTGTCATGAAATTGGTATGAATCTCTTCTTCTCCTCCTAAGCTTCAATTTGATAGCTAGATCGCACCCTAAGGTTGGGAATTGGCATTGAACAGAGCTCGAGAAGCTCCGACCTTCCCTTTCGTCGAAACCGGGTCAAAATGACCCAAACCAAGAAACCGTACCTTGGCCCAAACCTTTGGGCCAGGCTACCAAGCCCAAACCCATTAGAATCCAGCCCACTTCCCCTCGGCCCAAAACCCAAAGAGAACCCGGTCCTCAAACCCAAAGACTTGGGCTGGGCTTTCAAGCCCAAAGCCCGTTAGAACCCAAGCCCTTGGACCGTACTGACTTGGGCATTCGACCCATTAAACCCTCAGCCCAAATCCATTTGGGCCCAGCCTAAAACCCCAGGCCCAAGCCCAGGATCCGTGGCCTAGCAACCCAACGAAGCCTAAAACCCAGGCCATGCGTGAGTGGCGTGTGGGCTTACGCGTGGGAGCGCGTGCAAGGCCGCCGATGCCAATGCATGGAGCACACGCGCCGCTATCCACGGCAACACCAAGGACTTTTTCGGCCAACTTTTCGACAACCCACGACGGTGAGTGCAGCATGGGTACCTGAGGTCCCCCATTCAGCATTATTTATATATCAACTTAGTCCACTCATGTTTTGTTTTGCACCCCCTCAGGACATAGAAATGAAGCATACGATCCGAGCTACGAGGCATTCCCCTACCAATGATATCGTGTCATCTTCTCTGCTTTTGAAACTACTTGTAATAACACTTTTTGTCACACCTTCCGTTGTATTCTAAATTAAATGTATACTTTGAACATGTCATGCATTATCACTAGCATTTTATTTGACAGCTGAATATTATTATATTATTTTGGTAAGGTTATATTTGAATATTACATTGTGTAGTTTGCACGAAATTTATATGCATGTTTCACATGTTCTCGGTATATGCATTCATTAAATGGCTTGCGTCATCCTCAGGTGTCGGCTAGCACGTGGCCATCCCGCTGTCTTCTGGACATCGGGATTGGAGCGTGTCACTAAAAAATTACATGACACTCTAATCACATGATAGAAATCCATAGAGAACAGAAATTGAACAAAAGAAACTGACCACATTAATACAAAACTTATTTCCCAAGAAAGGAAAATAAGCAAAAATACAAATTACCAATGAAGAAATGAGGAAACATATCAACAACCTAATTTGTATACTCAATTCTTAAATAAGTATGATAGAGAGTTAACATTGTTACCAAATTTGATGAGCCCAACTAGAGCAAATTGAATACTAATATTCAAAGTGGATTAAAACGATGAGAATATGCTTTAAAAAAGTATTACGTTTGTATTTATTTGTAGTACAATGGTGTGGGATTAGAAATTGGATATACTATCTTATGACTGAATGATCATGCAAGGAAAATTACAGTGAGATTGTAAAGAGCGTGGAAAAGTAATATAAACAACATACAAGGAAAATAATCATTGTGTTTGTACCTGTGTGAAACCTATTTGTTGAAGCGGCAACTTGTTTGTACCTGTGTGAAACCTATTTGTGGAAAAGTAATATAAACAACATACAATGAATCAAGATCATTAAGTTGCATGACACACACATATATAGCAAAGAACATTAAGTTTTAAGCACGTCAACTCATGAAGCATGCCAACATATATATGCAAAAAGAATGATACACATACCAGCACACACATGTAAAAGCAATTATTAACACAACTAACAAACATTTGTAAATTAAAAATTTTACACTATTTAACAACCCGACTCACCTTTCTTTTTTTTCTCTATTTGACCAAGAGCACTTTGTAGCTCATGTAAAGTGCTTCCATAACAATCTGCAGCAAGAAGTGAAATTACAAATTAAACACACAAAACAGTAAAAGTAAATTTCTTTTTTTTTTTCATTCAAAGCTATGCATAACTGAAAAAAAAAGCATAATTGTAAAACAGAAAACAGATTAAGCTTTTTTTACAAAGCATATACAGTCTAAAACCCGACGTCTATTAACAGTCAAAATTTTGATTGTTTTACCTCCATAAGTTTGATTCTTTTCAGTGTTTTTTAGAGCTTGACGAAACCATGAAGAGACAAACAGCAGCACTCAACTGTTTTTGCAACCCTGTAACCAGTTACACAAATAAGAATGCAGCATTTCTATTAAAGCATGTAATTCTCCTCTTCCTGTATTCTTCCCCCTTCTCTAGCCAAATAAAAATTTCAAAACTATGTACCAAAAGCTCAAAAGTAGGATTCAAAGAGTCAACAAGTTCAAATGCTATATTTTTATTAGGACTTCATAGTCTATTTAACACTTGGTTTCTTGAGTAGTAAGTTCCCCATTCTGTGTCTTGCTAATTTCACACGCCTACAACAAACAAAATAGTTGAATAATTTTAGTATAATTACCAAATTTTGACCGTTCAAAACTAAATCTCCTTTTTTTTTTTTGTACCAACTAAAGTACACATATGAATATCAAAACAAAAACCTCCAATAGCATTCCCTTTCTATCTTAATTTTTGTAAAAGGAAACACAAATGGAAGAATTTCACAATTTGATCTTGTAACTCATAACCACAGAGAGTCAAAAGCACTTCAATTATGTAAGGAGGGAAAGGGGGTGCAAATAACTGATGCTCAATCGAAATCACTGCCTAGTCGTCAACTCTTTATATGCAAAGATTAGAAAAGTTTAGAATCAAGCACGATAGTTAAAGTTATTTTAGATTTTCCATGTTTGTAATCACTGTGCTGCTATATAAACTGATGTATTTGCAATGGCATACAATGCCTATAAAGCTACTTACAGCGCAATAAATTCCAATGCAATATATACTCATGTTCTTGTCTTCGCAAGCAGTCAGCTTCTACTGACCCATCGAAGACTTGATAAATATTGTCTGTTCCAACAATCGAATCGAAGCCTCCTTCCAAAAATCCTAATCACAAAACCAAGAATCACAATCAAAACAAATGATACAAACACACACAGAGAAAATATATACTTATATGTACATGGCTACTGTACAAACCGCTCTTTTTTCATAACCTTGGCATCAAAGTAAACCCTCATTTATCATGGCAACAACTAAAGAAATTTATCCGCACTGCCTCATTCAATCGCCTCATTCCATTTTCCCCTACTAAATAAAAAAGTGGTCAGTGAATCAATACAAATATTCATTAAAATAAAAAAGTACAGAAAAATCTAAGATTTTCCTCAAGGGATATCCCAGAATTTAAATTCACGCTAAATCCATTCCCTAATTCTCTTAATTGAAGGGAACCCAGAAACAAAATAACGAAAAAAAAAATGAAAAACTTATTCTCAGTATCCAAACAGCTCAAAGCCCAGAACAAAAAAAAAGAAAAAGAAAAATACCTTTGCGGGTTTGGAGCTCTTTTCTTATAACTGTTACAGTATTGATGTTGAGCCTCAATTCGTGGTGTTTCCGTCGGTAACAATCAAAGGTGGGGCTGCTGGTTTGGGTGAAGAAGAAGAAGAAGAGGATTCGAGCCTACAAACAGAATCACAACAAGCAAACATAAACACAAAACCCATTTTCAAATCCAAAACCACAAAAAAAATAAAACACCCACACTGAGAAAGCCGTAAAACTCAACAGGAAATGCCAACATTTCTGGGAAACAAATTGAAACGAATCTAATTGAAAACCTGAAAAAAGTTGTAGCGGCTGAGTGATTTTTCCGGCAAGAAAACACCGTTGTCGATAATTCGTGAGAGAAAGATGAAAGGTTGGAGGGCGAGAAAAATCACCATTTTGGAGACAGAGAAAGCTAGAGTTAAGAATAGCAGAAACTGAGAAGGGCGATAGAGAGAAGCGAAAGCAGAGAAGTCGAAAGCAGGTCCATCGATGATCGACACGTGGGAAAGGCGGGCAACTCTTCCTCAAGGTGACAGAGGCATGGAAAGAACAGGCAAAACCGTCTTTCCACTGCAGGAAGCAATCCAGAGGGATTTTTCAATGTGACTAGAATATGAGATTATACACTGCATGTTATTTATACAAATGGTGAGATATGTGTGGTAAAAATTTAATAACTTAAAAAATACAATTTTTCATCACTTATATAAAAACACATGATGTATCATCCGTATTCCGATCACAATGAAAATTTTCTCTACATCAGGAGAGCGGGGAGAAACCGAGGGGCCAAAAAAGGTCTACCCACTGGTCATCAACAGTGCCCTCTAAAAACTGAGTTTTAGTATATAGGATGTAGGCAAATTTAGCATCTACATCAGCAAAAGATGTAGGGTCTTTATTTTTCATGCAAGTATAACATTGCTTCAAAAGCACAAGTCTAAATACTGCAACTGCTACAAATGCAAATAGGACGGAGTGAAATTACAGTTATGCTCTATATATTTTTATCCATGCCGAGTTGTAGTTGGGTGACTTGAGTTGATAGTGAGAAAATATTGGTTACCATGATGTTGTCTTGTCATGATTTTGTTCTTTTTGATTTGTTTAAAGTTGATAATTCGAATGTTTAAACTAATGACTACTTGAGACGGTTGTCATAATCTCTGTATTTGGATGAAGCCGATGACAACCGTTGTCTACATGTTGCTAATGATTTTGGTTTTGCTACTCGGCAAACTCATGATTATATCATTATGAGTTTAAGGGAGGTGCTGGAAAATATAGAAAAAGGGAAACATTTTATTTACTTAGAGATTTTATTATTATTTTAAGGTCTAGGTTTCTTGTCCTAGTGGACTAAGGTTGTTAATGCAGGGGTTTTTAGATCCCTTAAAATAATATATAGTTGATTTTGGGTCCAATTGATGGGCTTGGAGATAGTGCCCATTGAAGATGAGAAGATCAAGATATTGGACCTGCAAGTCAGCCCAAGGAATCCAAATGATAGACACCACCACGACAACGAAAGACGACCGCTCGTAAACTTGAATTGTCTACTGACAAGAAGATATGTGCGTAGAACTTAAAGTACTTTCTGACTGTTCAAGTTAGTTGACAAACGTGACAATTTTCTTGCATGAAGCTCCAAGGACAGGTTTGTCCTGATGTCAACTCCAGACACGTGTTGGTCATTGCCGGGAAATGAAGTCCATGAAGAGACATAAATGTTGTCAAGCCTAGCACTTGAGTAAAGTGCTCTTCAACCACTCTCTAACGAGCGATGCGCTCGAGAAGCATCAACCTGAGAAATTATGCAAGTAGCTATGTGTAAATGTCACTTCCTCCCCATCTGTCATGGAGATAATGGGTCGTATCTACGTGTTCGACCCATTAAATGATAGGACAGTATGAGAATTACATTGTCTTGAGAACTCTTGTAATCCACATCAAATATATACTAGATCACTATAGTATATGTAGTCCATTTTTAGCGATGAACCACTTAAATCCTTTTGTTCACAATCTAACTTTATATTCTGAGCCCACCAAAGGTTGACTATAATGGTTGACCTCCCAATTTTGAGTGTTAACAAATGTTTGTTTTGAATTTATTTCCTATTATTGCTAATTAGTACTCTTATAAATACATACCTCTTTATGGATAAGAATAAGTTTTGATGGTGTGTAGAATTTTGAAATACTTTGTTTGACTCTTTATTTTCACTTGTATCAAAATGTAGTTCCTTAACTTTTACATGTCAAAACGTAGTCAAGTTGACTTGAGTAGTGTACCACCCTTTTATTGTAGAATATTATTTTGTATAAACAAAAGGTTTATAGTAAACATGGCCGTGTTTATATACGTGGAAACAAAATGAGTAGAATGGGTGTCATTCCCATTCCAGACTACTTCGTTGTTTACCAAACCAAGCAGAATTAATAGCAACGCTAGTCCCACATAAAATCAGGAGTTCGATCCTGATATTTGGGGAATTGAAATCTGGAGTAGGGAGGTCGGATTGGGGAAGGCTGAATTGAAATTAATTTTTTGTATCTAAATTACTATACGTATTTTCTGCCTCTGCTGCAAAATTTCGTCGAGTTCCTTCATACCGAATTTGTAGATCTTTGAATTTGGGAGCGATGATAACAATGATGGGTTTGCTGGAAGAGAGAAAGAGGAGGAGGAGGATAAAATGATTGTCCGGGTTTTTTTCACGTATGGGAACGATGATGGGTTTACTGGGTAGTTTTTTTATTTTTTTATTTTTTTTATTTTTTTAATTGTATTTGTTTTGATAAGACCATCTCCTTTCCAAAGGAGATGTCAAATTTTAAACATAAAACATAACTATGACAGCCTATGTGGCACTTTGACATCTTTTAAAGTTTTGCTCTCTACTCAATATGTCAAATTAAACAATTATTTTATTACATAATATTTTTTTCTTTATTTATGTTTTATATTTGAAATTTATATATATATATATAATTCATGATAAAATTCATATTAATTAACAACAGATACTGATACAAATAATCCAACAAAAGACAACCCCTTAATTGAAAAAAAAAAAAAAAAAATTCCAACTCAAAAATCATCACCTCGAAGAATAATTTTGTTCACAAAGCACTATAGGGTTTCTGTTGAAGCACAAAGCACCATAAGATGTTCACAAAGCACTGTAGGATATATATTCACAAAGCAAATCCTTGATTAAAAAACAAAAATTGTTGATTAAAATTAAAAAAAAAAAAAAAAAAGAGGTAGGATAGAAGACAAATTGCAACAGTCATACAATCAACAATTAATTATACTAAATGTTAAACCAATAAAAGTTAATAAAAAATATTTAATAACTAATTAAAAATTATTTGAAGCTGCAACCCCTCTATTGCCATTCCATATCATGTTACATAATAATTGACATTTCGGTTGGAAAATATTAGTATTGTCTTCTTTTTTTTTAACTGTTATTACTGATGTGAATTTTTTGACATTTTCTCTGGTGATGCTCTAAGGAGTTTAATTTTAAAAGGAAAAATTAAAAACACAATCATTAAATACATTGCTCAAAATAGAACAATTTTTTAGTTTGAACGTTTAGCTAAAATTGTATATTTACTAGCAATAGGTAATAAAATATAAAATAGAATTATTCTATTTGGTAATCAGACTATTTTTTATTCCGATTTTGGACGATTGAACACAATTTAGGCGGAGATAAACTATATTTTGATTCCGATACCTAACAGTTAGCTAGTAAATAATCCTTTAGTGGCACCATACTTGCTTGGAGTCCAACGGGTTAAGCACCATCCAAGTATATGACCTTTTAGATTAATGATATGTTTATCTAGGAGCATCTATCTCATTCTAAAAGACAAATGAGTATGAGCACATAATCCAAGCTTAACTAAAGCTTCAATTTTAAATAGTATTTGGTAGGTAACAACAAGATTAATTTGAGTGGAAAAAATATAAATATCTATTATGTTATAGCCTATATTGATTCATGCATGCACAAGGAAAGCAAAAGAATTGGATATATTGTCATTGTCAACCATGTCAATTAAGCTTGTATTTATTTATTAATTTCTTGAACACAGTCCAAGCAACTCATAGCAATTCGGAACATCGATCGGTATTGCTGTAAAGTTATTCCCAATGCACAGCTCCTAGATTTTCTTGAAGTGGTCTCAAGACTCGCAACTTTTGAAACCATATGCAACGTACTTGAAGTACTGTGTAAATAGAAATATTTTGCGACATACACATAAAAAGCATAAAAGAGGATACTTCATGTAGCATTGACCACTTTAGAAGCTAGCTGCAGACGTGTTCTGATTGCTGCAAAGAAAGTGATTGGCCCATGGATTCTCTCGTTCAACTAATTCATAATTTTAGGAACATTATTTGATCAATATTTAATGTGCACCTCTTGTTCAAAAAATAACTGTAAAAGTAATATTAGGAAGATTAAATTTGAAAATTAAATTATGTGTTACAAATAAATGAGTATGTTTATCAATACTTAAGTAATAAATCAATCATCAACTTCCATGCCTTTTAATTTTTTAAACTTTGTCTACAAATTTAGTCTCTCTAGTATTATCCTAAACATAACTATCCAATAAAAACTATGTCAAGGAATTAAATTGGAGACAAGATTGTATCTTTCCAATCTGGGATCATGCATTGTGTATCCTAAATCCTTTACCTGCAGAAAAAAGCATTCAGGCTTTGATATTGAATGCTCAAATAGCTTCCTACAGTCTTGTTTTAGATCGAGAGTATCACGCACTCTGGTTTCTTCAGCAAAATTTTATTATCCTACCAAACAAAATAACAACACTAGCGCTTCGGAAACATTTTGCTGGATCACTTGAGAGCCCGTTTGATAATTATTTTAATTTTAATTACTTGTTAGCTATTTGCATTGGAGAAAACGAAGGATATAAAAGAGCGGAGGAGGGCTGGTGGGAGAGATATAGAAGAAATTTACTAGGAAAGTACACAAAATGAAAACTAAAAACCAAAAATAAAAAAATATAAAATTGAAAACAAATAAAACATCACCTAATAAAGGCAGATTCAAGCTTTCATGCAGAATTAATGGATCTAGATCTTCGATAAATTAGGGTTAGCAACTTTTGTCAGACACTGGTCTTGAGCCTTTACTCAGTGAAATCTTGATTAAGTTGAGAGGGGATTTATCAGGGGTCGTGATTTTATATACTTGCACAAGTCCTGCCTTCAAATAAGACACAAAAATTAATCTACTTTCTATTCAACTGATGAGAAATAAATTTGGTTATCCACTCACTATCCAACCATATTACTTTATGATGCTCACAGATCAGTATACTTCATATATATTTGTTTATGTATTACACAAAGGCTTTGTTGAGAGAGAGAATTAGTTTGGATATAACTAATCACTATATTTAAAAGTATTTTAAAGGAAAAAATGAATGACAAATTTTTTATTTTGTTCAAGTTGAAGGTTACTCGTAAAGAATAGTTGTCCCTTTAATTTAATTCTACCATTTTTGTGGGAATTAGTAGGGTATCTTTTCTTCATGAGTTTCAACTTGACAAAATAAAGAATTTGTCATCCATTTCTTTCTTTAAAATTCCTTATATATAGTGAATACTCCTACCCAAAC